CATCGTGCTGCTGGTGAGGTGTGTGCCGACCACCGCCACCCCCCCCCCCCCGCTGCTGCTGCTGCTGCTGCTGCTGCAACTAAACATCACTGCTGCTGCTGCTAACCCAGGTAAAAGAACCACACTCAAATGGATCTGGTCTCTAAGGTGGCTGAAAATGTACTCCAACATAATCAAAGATTAGACAAAGTCTAATTCTAACCTAAAACTGGTCTAATACTGGCGGAGGAAGAGCTCCAGAAAGATGGTTTTGAAGGTCTCAGTCACCAAGGTCTTCACATTTGAGGTGTTTAGGTTTCATTAAGACCCTTCTCTAGTCAGAACGGTATTTAATTAGTGAAACTCACACCCGTACAGTTACTAATTCTTATCTTCAAGACAAAGTTGTCAAACCAGAGCAGGTGCAGTAAAATAATTACAGTAGCTCACAACCTGTTCAAACATTAACCAAAACTGAGGTCAAATATTTACACAGCTAAAAGGTTAAGCAAACATTTAGAAATGGCAAAAAAAAAAAAAATCTAAAAAATGAAAATGTATTTCAAATTTAGAATATCATTTAAAAGAAATCTGGTACTAAATTATATATATATAAAAAATGTCAGTTTTTGTGGAGCAGCATGACGCTAACAACATCCTACAAAGATGGCGGCGAGCGAACAGCGGCTTCCTGGAAGAGCTGAAACAGGGAAACCTTGAGCGTGAATGCATCGAAGAAATCTGCAGCTACGAGGAGGCACGAGAGGTCTTCGAGGATGAAGACAGGACGGTCAGCTCTTTCTCGGTTGATTAGAAATTGAAACTAGCTTAGCATTGATGAGCAAAAGAACAGCAACATTAGCCTTCACATTTGAAGTAGCATCTATTGAAATGTGAATCATTTGTAGCTGTAATGTTGGTACTAGTATTTACATCAAACTATGCATTATAAGATGAAAGAAGATTAACATTGATTTTTGAAAAAGACCTTAGCATTAGCCTCAACTTTAGCATTTCCACTGATCTACATTAAGATGAATCTGAGTGCTAGCATGCGCAGCAATACACTGGGTTATGGATCAACTACTTCTCAGTAATATATTGATATATTAGTCTTTGATTGATGAATGATCAGTTATTGACAGATCACTGAAGCACTGGTTCATCAGTTATTGATCCTTGTTGGTTGCTTTTTCAGATACAGTTCTGGTTGAGCTACCGTGGTGAGTACATTGTCTCTTTTCTCCCAGTTAAGATGAGACTGCACTCAGAGTTAGACTTTCAGGTGTTAATTCTAATATATTGCTACTTTTGTTTCTATTTTCTGGTTAATCAGGTACTGAGCCGTGTCTGGAGAACACGTGTCAGAACAACGGCACATGTGTTGCCATCGGGAAGCATTACGAGTGCATGTGTCCAGTAGGCTTTGAAGGACGTCACTGTCAGACAGGTGGTGAAAGTCAAACATTGTAGTTTCTTTTATACACCTTCAAATGAGCCTTTAATGTTAACAAACATTAGAACAATGTATTCTCATTTATTTTGTCCAGTTTTTGAAGACTCCCTGAAGTGTCTGTACCAGAATGGACTGTGTCAACATTTCTGTGATGGCTCTGGAGAGAAACGCAAATGTTCCTGTGCTGACGGATACAGACTTGGAGAGGACGGACGGACCTGCGTCGCCGATGGTAGAACCTTTATGACTTTACTTCAGTTTTTTTTTTATGTAAGCCACATAAGGTAGCACAGGATCTGGTCTTTCCCCTCAGTCCAGATCCAGGACACTTTGAAGAGACCAAATCTAGTTTTGGGCTGTTGACTTTTATATTGCAGGTTCTGATTTGTGTCCTTTGTTTCTAGCGGAGTTCCCATGTGGCCAGGTGGCACCAAAGAATCCGGCTGGAACTGACAGTGTTGTGCCTCAGATGAGAGCGGTGGGATCGAACCACTGCCCTGAAGGAGAATGTCCTTGGCAGGTAAAAGACAAGACATTTCCAAAGTTTAAGAACTTTAAGAAGATATACATTAGCTAAGCACAGTTAACGACATTATCGATTATATAATAACGATATTAGGTCTTAGGTCAAGGGTGTCAAACTCAATTTCACAGTGGGGCACAAGAAAGCGGGTCAGATTTGGGCCCCGTGCCTGGCTTTGACACGTGTGATCTAAAAGAACTTCTGATTTCGTTGATTCCCTTCAGGTTCTGGTCCAGTTGAACGGAACCAGTCACTGTGGAGGAGTTCTGGTCAAACCTGATTGGGTCCTAACGGCCGCCCACTGTGTCCTCCATCATCAACCAGACCACTTAATGGTGGTGGCAGGTAACGAAACGATAAACGGCTCTGACGTCAGAAGTTAGATGTCAGTTAGAAGTAGCAGGCTAACTTAACTTTTTGAATAAATGTATATAATAAAGATGTGTTTTTTCTTGAATAACTGTTTGTTGGAATAGTCATGTTATAATAGGCACCTGATTTTCCCACCAGGAAAACTAAACCTGGACATAAGCGATGGGACGGAGCAGCGGATACCCGTCTCCATGGCAATCCCTCATCCCAGTTACGCGGTTGCATCAGGTGACAGCGACTTAGCGTTGCTGCAGCTTAGTCGACCTTTGACATTAAACCATAACGTTAACACCGTGTGCCTGCCAACCAGAGAATTGTGGGAGCGTGAGCTCTCACTAGTACGGTACCACAGTGTGTCGGGCTGGGGGAAGAGGACAATTGGAGGCAACATAAAGGAAGCAGAAGGAGTTCCTGTGTCACCATTTCTCCGCAGGATGATGGTCCCGCTCATAGAGAACCGTCGATGCTCCCAGTGGAGTAACTTCACCTTCACAGAGAACATGTTATGTGCCGGGTACCTCGAGGGACAGAGCGAAAGCTGCCGTGGCGACGATGGCAGTCCACTTGTTACAGATTTTGGTCACACCTATTTCCTGGTGGGTGTAGTCGGCTGGGGGCGTGGTTGTTCGCAACCCGGATACTACACAGTCTACACAAACGTGGCCAACTTTGTGGGCTGGGTAGTGCAGACCATTAAGGCACCACCCATAATAAGTGTAAGCAAGTGACATCATAGAACAGAAACAGATTCAATAATATTAAATTGTTCAATGAATCATGTATTGTTTTGTGAAGAAAGTCAATGTATTAATTTGTGTAAAAAGAATAAAAGAAATAAAAGTGACTGATTATTCTGAGTAAATGAGTACATAATCTATAAATGCATTTCACAGAAAATAGTCATGACAATAATATTTAAATGTATTAATTTAACTCATTTAACACTATGAATATAAAATGTTAAAATCAAACAAAATATTGAAATAATAAATAATAATAATACGGTAAATAATAAATTGTAAAATGAAATCTATTTTTCATTACCAATGATTTGAACTATTAATGAAAACTCTTTAACACACCTCTCATTGATGCTCCTTTCATACTCAGTCTGCTGTGGTATGCTAAATTGTGGTGCGGAAAATATTTTAACATTTACATTTTCAACTGAATAAATAAATAAATAAACATACCGTGCACAATTAATACAACATTTAAACATAACCATTTCTAAACATCTCTCCTGTGGTGGAAGCTAACAGTGAAGGCCTACGCTGCTATACTCTGATGTTGGTCATCATGGTGGTACTCAGAGAGATCAATGTTTTCTCAGGCGGTACAGAGTAGAAAAAGTTGGAGAACCACTGGCTTAGAATCTGTTATTTTTTGTATTTTCGTCTGATAAATGGATCAAAGCTCATCAAGAAACTCGAGATTTAAGGTTTTATTGACATTTCTGAAAAATGTATGTTTCCTGAAACATGATTCAAAATGGTTTAAAGAGAAACTGAAAAATCTAATTCTAATAGCCCTTCCCACTGATGCATCAAAGCTCCGCCTTTTCCTGTCAACATCAGCCCCCTCTCTTCAATCACTGAGGTCAACGTCCTCTGTTCCAGCCTCCTGTTAACAGACTTAGACTCTGGTATAAACTCTTTTCTTCACCGAGACGCAGAAGGACTTTCAATAAGAGCCAGCATCTTCATCAGCACCAAACATCAGAGCGAGGATGTTCTGCCGTCAGAGCTACTCCCTGGTTTTGCTGCTCCTCCACCTGGTCACTGCTGCTGCTGCTGCTGCTGCTGCTGCTGCTGCTCATGGTATGTCAACCACAAAACTTCACATGTACCAGGACACAGCTGCAACAAGTGTGTGTATGTGTATGTGTGTGTGAAAAACTAAACAGTCTGACAGGTGACATATGACCCTTGACCCCTGCACTCTCTTCTTCTGTGTGTGTGTGATGTCACTTTTTGTTAGTTTGTTGGTCGTCACCCATCGTCTACAACACTGAACTCAAACAAATTTATGGTTTTACCAAAAAGCTAGTTAGAAAAATATTAGCAACGCTGGATATAAAATACCCAGAAGATAACTGAAAAATAGGCAAAAGTAACTATCAAAAAAATATTGAGCAATTACATTAAACAAAGACTAAGCAGTCAAAATCAAAAAAATATTTAGCAATTACATTAAACAAAGACTAAGCAGGTAGCCAGAAGAATACTCAACTCAAGGAGTAGCAAAAATGAACAGCTTCTGTAAGAGGCTGAAAATGGATTTTTAAAATAACCAACTCTCATTCCTTTTTGTTTTCACTTTTTTCCCCCTTTTGTTCAGTCTTTATGGATGACGCAGCTGCCAATGAGGTATTGAACAGGCGAAGACGAGCTAACAGTTTCTTTGAGGAAGTGAAACAAGGAAACATGGAGAGAGAATGTATGGAGGAGCGCTGCAGCTTCGAAGAAGCACGGGAGATCTTCGAAAACAAAGAGAAAACGGTGATGAAGGAAAGACAGAAAGTGAAGCAAGAATAGAAGGAAATGACGGACACAAAAGCTAAAAGTTAGCAGAAATATAGCATTCCTAAAGCAAAACAAATGTGATTGGTCAAAAAAAAACAATTTTGTTGCCATTCGTTTTAGGTTTGCAGCACCTGAACTGCTGACTCTGACTTCTTTCACCCTGGCACGTGAAATATACTCAAATATATACAACTGAAGCGTAGAAAAATCAAGAGAAACGCTTTGAAAAGAATGAAAGTTGAGAACAGACTTCTCTGCATTATTTTATAAATAATCATGATATATGTATTGAAAAATAAGGCAGTGATTCTGATAGTGTTTGGACCAGCAGAGCAGACGTTGATGGTCTTGACTGTACACCACTGGTGTAAAATGTTGTACTTTTTGAGTGATGTTCTTCTAATGGAAACATTTTTTTTTTTACTTTTTGTTTGGAATGACTAAAAATTGTTGTTTCTTTTTTAGGATGAATTCTGGAATGTATATTTTGGTAAGAACATGATGATTTACAAATGCCTTAAAATATACAAAAGCAGCAAAGACATCCAATAAGACAGAAACTTATTGGATGCTTTGTAGTTGATTTTTGGGGTACAGTACCCTATCTCACCACTAAGTGCTGCGACGTCTGCTCTGTTTGTCCTGCAGATGGCGACGCCTGCATATCCAATCCCTGCGCACACGGCGGACAGTGTAAAGATGGGATCGGAAGCTACCTCTGCTTCTGTCCCGCCGGTTTCCAAGGCTACAACTGTGAGATCGGTAAAGAAAACACGGACAACTGTCGAAAACAAGAGTTTTCTGTTCTGTGAAAAATCAGTATAAATCCCTGCTAAAAATCAGTATAAATCCCTGCTACAGCGCGATTAGAAGAGGCGTTGTTCTGTGAAAAATCAGTATATTCCGGTCGCAGACCATTCCCCTGCTACAGCGCGATTAGAAGAGGCGGACCGAAGCGCGGAACACTTGGCTACACATGTAGAAAAGCGCGGTTAAGTACGTTTCCTGCTGCTTCCGCAAACGTCTTTGTATTAGTGTTGGAAAGACCGACTCTTTTTCCTGATTCGGATCTTTGACTCTCGAACAATAGAACGAATCGTCAACGAATCTTGAACGAATCATTTCATTCATTTTACAGCAGGTGGCGCTGTAGCCCTATCGTGGGCGTTGTAAAGAAGGCTGCGGTTCTCCAACACTAAATTTGTCGATATATTTATTTACAAACACACTTTACACCATAACACCATACTCTTAGACAGAGGGGTCAACGATGGTGGGCCTGTCTGAACTTTGATCTGGTCTTCACTGAGTTCTCCGTCTTTTTAGTCATTCCTGAGCTGTGTGAGTCCAAAAATGGAGGCTGCGAACATTTTTGTAACGTGGTCCAAGAAAACATCCGTTGTTCCTGTGCTGATGGTTACTTTCTGACAGCAGACGATAAATCCTGTCTATCCAACCGTAAGAATCGTGATTTCAGATCATATTCCATCAGTCCAGATTGTCATAGACGTTTTATGACTGTCACGCCTCCTCTCGCACGTTTTTACAGAAACTTTCAAGTGTGGCCAGATTGTCGCCAAAAAAACACGGACGATCTTCAGATATGAGCGGAAGAACGTAACAGCTGAAAATACGACAGACGCTAATAGTACAGGCCTGGACTCCAACTTCACTGAGATGCCCTCTACTGGAAACATCGCTCATCTGGGGATTGATCCAAGAGACATTGTAGAAGAAGAAGAGATAAACGCTGAGATGGCTAGTATGACGAGAATTGTCAATGGAGAAAACTGTCCACCAGGAGAATGTCCCTGGCAGGTAAGACCCGTCCAAAATTCAGGAGGCTACAGTGACGTCTCCTAAGGCTTTTAGTTTGTGAAACAGTGGGTCTATAACCATGTGTTGTGGTCGGCAGGCTCTGCTCCTGAATGAGGACGATATCGGTTTCTGTGGAGGGACCATCCTCAATGAGTACATTATCCTAACTGCTGCCCACTGTATGAACCAATCCCGTTACATCTACATTAAACTGGGTAGGTACATCTGACCATCTGACCACACGTGAAGATGTTTCAGTTCACACCTAATCATGACCCACATGGGCCACACGGTGGAAGGAGAAGAAGTTGTTAGCAGGCTTGGGTTGCACTAAGAAGATCAACAGTTTGCTGGTCCCATTCCTGGTCTTTGTGTTTGGAGCTCAAATGTTCTCCAGGGACTCAGGACCTACACCCAACAAATCTGTGTCTGATTCAGTCTAAGATCTTTAAGGATTTCTTTCCATGTTTTATTTCACCTTTTTAAGAGGAAAACATAGTTTGTGAACCCATCTCCTCCACCAAGTCAGTGCCTTGAGCTCACAGGTGAAAGTTCAAAGTTAGCGGTGGACCCAGCAGTGTAGCTGAGATTTAAAATCACTGTTTTTGTCTTTGGTGAGTCACTGGTTTACAAACGTAAACCAGTTTGTCTTGACAATGATCTCCAACTGTAAAAAAAAACCCAACTTGTATCTATCGTTTGTGATTGTCCAGGAGAGTTTGACACCCTGGTGGTCGACGGTAACGAGGCGACCCACAGCATAGAAGCTATAGTCACACACGTCAGGTACAAACCAGAGACATACCACAACGACATCGCGCTCATCAAACTCACACAGCGATAAGGTGCAGCAGGTTCGTCCGGCCGGCGTGTTTACCAGAGCAGGACTTTGCAGAAAAGGTGAGTTTTTCAAGTACAGAAAGTAAAAAGGGTGACAACAATTCTATGACGGAGTTTCACACTTTCCTCCCAGTTGTTGATGCGGCAGCCAGTTGGGTTGGTCAGTGGTTTCGGCCGCCTTGGTGAGGGTCAACAGGCGTCCACCATCCTCCAGCGCCTGGCCTTGCCCTACGTGGACCGGCAGGACTGCTTGGACTCGACTCAGTTCCGAATCTCGCAGCGTATGTTCTGCGCTGGTTACCACACCGCTCCCAAGGACGCCTGCCAGGGTGACAGCGGTGGCCCGCATGTCACCCTCTACCGTGACACCTATTTTGTCACTGGCATTGTGAGCTGGGGGGAAGGCTGTGCTCGGAAAGGAAAGTACGGGGTCTACACCCAGGTGTCCAAGTACATCCATTGGATCAAAGATGGGATAAATACGCTGATGACCAAAGGAGGCCGAGCCAAGCGGCACCATGGCACCATCAAGAGGCTCGTTCTGTGATTTGAAAAAAAAAAAAAAAAGATTTCACTTCAAATTCCAGGATAAACTTAAAGGGCTGTCATTTTTGTCCTAAATTCAAAAAGGTTTGATGGTTTTATACTTTTGGGAGACGTGTTTTAGTAAGTAAACCTTTGACTTGTGGCTAATTTCCAACATGAAAACATGATAACTGAATGTTTTGATTCCCAAACAAATGATTTTGAAAATACAGTGTTTGACGTAAACGTCTCCAAAGTTGAAGTTGAATCGCGGAGACAGTGACAGCCCCTGGTCCTCATCTGATGTTTAGACCTTCTCCAAGTTTGACACTTTTTCATCCTTTCATGAAACATTTGACTTGAACTAAATCCTGTTATTCTTCAGTCTCCGATGTACAACCTGTTTGATTTGATATCTTCACAATCCATATTATTTAACAGTCAGTAAAAAGAATATGTCTAACAAATTCTCTTGAGACTTATTTCTTAATTTCAAGGGGAATAAAAAGTTGTAAAATGTGCATTAGCCGTTTCTCAATAAATTCAGATTAAAATCATACTTGTAATATAATAATAGTTCTGTTTTAAGGCTTGAAATGTAGTAAATAATTACTTTAACAAACATACTATATATGTACATATATAGTATGTTCATTAAATATATATATACATAACTGCAACAAGTAGGGTTTATATTAAAATACATTTTCATTGTCCCGATGAATGTATACGCATATGTGTATAACAACAATAAAAAAATATATATACATATATATATATATATGTGAATATATAACTTTATTATATATTAATTATATTATATTATATTATGATGCTGATGCTGAGATATTAAGACTCGACCAATCAGGGAACACTCTATTCTCTGACACTTATCAAATGTGAGCCATGATTTGGAGCGGTTCTGATCCTGATCCAGACCACTTCACACTGGTTTAACAACTCCTCTTGTGTTAGCTACAGAACATGTCGCTGCTCCGTGATGACAATAACACCACATCATCTGCAAAACCCGTTCGTAGTATCTTCTGATCAACAAGCCCGTCACCCTCTCACTGGGCTGCACTTTCCTACAGTTCTATCCAAGGTTCTAAACAGAACCAGTACTAATGGGCAGCTCCGGAACATTCCAAACTGAGCCAGGAAAGTGTTTGTCACACTGTTGGCAATGAAAACCAAACTGGCTGTGACGGTTGGCACAAATCATTGTTAAAATATTGTTGTTGTTTTTTTTTCTCGGTTTCTTTTAAAAACTTTCTTCCACTCTTGCATTTCTTTGGTTTTCTCTCTGTGCTTTCATCAAAAATCTGTTTAATAATTAACCATTTGGATGAAAAACACAGAGTTTGATCAAATAAAGAACATCCTGATTATTGACATACAGGTCAGAGGTCAGAGTCCAGGTTAGAAGAGTTAGAAGAAGAAAAAAAACAAGCTTTTAAAAGGACAAAAAGAAGAAATCTAAAGATTTTCTTTATCCTATTTAACAATTATTATAAGATAAAATTACCTTTAAATTATTAGTCATACAGAAAAAGTCTGGTTGTTTCCTTGTGCACAAACTCTGAGCTAGGATCGATGGTGTGTGTGTGTGTGTGTGTGTGTGTGTGTGTGTGGGTGTGGGTGTGTTTGAACGTGAGTGCAGTGAAATCAGAAACATGGCGCTCAACATCATGTCTGCTCTTCGTCCTGGTCGTCTAGCATCTCTTCTGCCTCTATGTCTCCTCATCTCCTTCCTTCAGCTCCTCAGCCGAGGACAAGGTATGAACTCTGACCTCTAATTTCATGCGGCAACATTTGGATTTGAACTTTTGAAAAAGTTATTTTCTGTTGTGACGCAGATGACATAGATATAACATGTTAGTGGCAGCAGCCTAATGACATGGACCATTCAAACTTGGTGTCACTGCCACATTTAAAACAACTGTATTTTCACGCAACCGAACAAAAACATTTAGCCACAATTTCACCTAAATATCTCATTGACTACAATACAGAGATGTATAATTACCCAATAATTAATTATCATTAAATTAGCATTCATAATCATTTCAGCACCAAACATACAGCAGAACAACATGAGTGAAAAAAAGGCTCATCTTTTCAACATGACGGGAAGTTCGCTTTTTTACATTTGGAGTCAATTTAGCAACTCATTGTCGCCACATCCTCTCCTAGACCAAAGACCAAAGAATCAGACGATTTTCATCAATTTGAAATATCATCTAACCAGATCATTTGGTTTGTCTCGTCCTGATCTGTGAGCTGTTCTGGGCTCTTTAATGATGTCTGAGGAGACGTGGACCGATGACTCTGTGCCAGTCTGCAGCTTTGGACAATCTGCAATAACAATAATGATAACCATCATTTCACCATCATAATTATTGTTACTACATAAGAGTAAAGACACAAATCTGCAGGTGTGTGTGAGGAGCAGCCTCACCACAGTCACTGATGGAGCATAAACAAATGACTGACCCAGATCCAAACACCTGGTGACAACAGGCGCTCCAGAGGACACACAAAAGACCGAGAAGAGAGAGTGACTGATTGACTGACAGACTGATTTTGACAGATTTTCTGTGAAGACTGTGAGAGTTGTATTTTGAGCACCGACCTTCTCTGATGCCTTCAGTTGTATTTTCCGTCTAAGTGCTGCGTCAGGACCACAGTGTTTTCCTGAGGTCCAAGCGGAGCAACTCCTTCCTGGAGGAGATTCTGCAGGGGAACCTGGAGAGGGAGTGCTTCGAGGAGCAGTGCAACTTTGAGGAGGCACGAGAATGTTTTGAAAATGATGAACAAACGGTCAGTCTTTGTTCCGTTAGAGCCAACTATCACAGGGCTGATGAGATTAATGTGGTAATTGTGTTAATCATTTTGTGAAGATTGATCTGATTTAATACATGTGCTGCACTCTTTAGCCAATAATTCCACCGTCCAATCACGTGGCTGTAAGTCTACAGCTGATTGATAGACTCTCGACACATTCCAAAGTCAATGTTCATGTCAAGGTTCATTTGTCTTTTTTTTTTTTACAGAACAGTTTCTGGACCCGTTACGTGGGTGAGTTCTTCTGTCCTGCAGTCGTTTTCACTTCTTTTAAAGTCCAGACAACAACAAACGAAAAGCTAGAAAATTAAGAAAATGAATAAGAATCAAGGAAAAACTGAATCTATACTGTGTATACGCAGTATTAATCTGAATGTTATTACAGTTCTTCAAATGCATTAGTTAGTTGTAATTGTATTTTGCAGTTATTGCCTAATGTTTCATTTTTTAAATCATTTTTTAAGTACAGATGAGACAGTTTTACTGTCATGAATTAAACATTGAATATTAAAATTTTCATAGGATGTATTTTATCTAAATAATTAATCAAATAAAATGACTTTAAATATATTTTAAATATATATATATATATATATATATATATATTTTATTTATAAAGCTTCACTTAATTTAAATTCATTTTCATTTTAAGAGTTTATATAAAATTGGAATGTTCTTGATATCAATTCTAGATGGGAACCAGTGTGACCCAAACCCCTGCCTCCATGGCGGAAATTGCACAGACAAAGTGGGCGGGTTCCATTGTTCATGCCCCACCCCCCACTACGGACCAATCTGTGAGCTGGAAACTGCAGCGGAGATAAAGGAGCAGAGTAAAAACACTGTCAATAAAGCCGTTTACAGAGGTAAAAAAAAAACCCAAAAACTCCCGCAGTCAACATCCTTGATCACGCCCCGGGAGGTTTCATGAATATGTTGACCTATCGTTACTGCAATTTACACAACGTCTAACACATTTCTAACTATCTTAGCATGTTGTTTTATTGTGGGCCAGAGTTGGTCAAATGTCCGACTGAAGGCCCGACAGCATGTCAGCAGCAATGCACAGCCTCCCAGTTCACCTTCACCTGCTCCTGCACTGCTGGATTCAGACTGCACAGCGATCAGCGCAGTTGTCTGCCAGAAGGTGTAACTAAGCTCACAGTCAATCAAATACAAGCCTCTCCCCGAAAAAGTAAATACGACCCATTCAACTATACATAAACTACATGAGTTGTTGTCTTTCTGTCATCAGTGGAGTTTCCGTGCGGTCAAATTCCTGAAAGATCCGGCACCTCTTCCTTGATGTGTCATCCTGGAAGCTGTCCCTGGCAGGTAACGGCTACTCAGCTCGTGTCAGCCAATCAGAGCCAAGCATCATCAACACAGTAAAGATGTGGAATGCCTGAAATTCCACTGTTGTCTTTCGTATTGAGGGTGTGTTTTTAAGATCCGTGGCTCATCTGTTCCAGGTGTCCTTGCACAACAGTGAGGGGGGGGAGCCCTGTGGGGGAGTACTGCTAGATGGTCGCACTGTCCTGACTGCTGCCAGCTGCCTCCACACCGCTAGAAGATACAAGATAGGACCCCAACGTCTCTCCATTGTTGCAGGTGTGACACTTTTTTCCCCATAAAGCTGCGTATTTGTACAGTTTAAAACCTTTTCATTTTGACGTCTTGTCCCAGGAGACCAGCAGCACTACCCTGTCCAGGATTTGGTCATCCATAATCGATTTCGTCCAGATCGTGATGACCATGACTTAGCTCTCCTCCTGCTAGCCGAGCCTGTGATCTTTAGCCCCATCCTTATCCCCATCTGCCTGCCCACCAAGGACTTCAGCGAGAACATCCTGATGAATTCTGGGAGAACGGGTGTGGCCGACAGAGGGAGAAGCCGACGGAACCAGGAGTTGGTCTACATGACGCTGGACGACTGCCGCAGTGAGTTAGAGGTATCACAGTCGCTCAGCAACAAAATGTTTTGCATGAGGAAGCAGGCACCAAATCTCCATCCTCCAGCTGTGGGAAGGCAGATTCAACAGCTCCCCACGGCGTACCACAACGACACCTACGACAGGAGGAGCAACCAAACTACTGCAAACGAAAACCACGGTTCACAGAGGAACAGAGCGATGACATCAAAGGTTGGAAACCAGGGGACATTGGTTTCTGGGAGTGTTCTGAGGCCAGACGGTGGAGGAAGGTCATGTTCTGGACCACTGCCTGGATCACCAGTTGCCACGGTGGAACACGGGACAGCCTTCCTGACCGGTATACTGATGTCAACAACAGCAGGCTGCGACGGCCTGGTGTTCACCAAACTCTCCCGCTACCTGAACTGGATCAGACCTAGACTAGAGGCAGCAGAAGGGCGTACGACACCAAACTCTGACATTTAAATGCTTCCTTTCAACCAAAGAATAGGTTGCATAGAATAGTGCAGTTGCGGGACTGTTAGTAAAAACACTCAATATTGAACTCAATATTACAATTTGATTTAAGGAAACATTAGCATTGGATTGATCATAGTTTTAAACTTTTCTGTCAACACAAATTGAAATGTTTATAAATTATATTGGGATGAATGGAGAGTTCAGCTCCCCCTTGAGGCACTTTTGAATAAATCACTATGATTACATTTCCACATAGAAGATAAAAGTCTGTTTTTCATGAAGGTCCAATGGAAACTCAAAAGTACCTTGAGTTCCTTTCTAATCTTTTCTTATTCCATGGTTATCAAGCATATAGTTGGATTTGCTGCAGGTCCAACAAAAGTGTACCACCTAGTGGCACCACTACTCATTTCCTGTGGTTTGTCTCCTGGGTAAAAATGGAAACGTTTGAGTGCTTTCTGCAGTACTTGCTACTGGTTCAAGTGCATATAGTTCCAGGTGCTTTCATTGCCTTTGGTACTAGTGAAAACAAACCATGGTTTGTTGTGCAGTTCAACATTCAGGCAGTGGTTTCACCTGGTGAGACACACTGTTGAGGAGACATTAATTCCTGAGGTACAAAGGCTTCACAGACAAGTTCACAGAACATGATTCTACTTCCTGGAATGGAAATAAAAGCTTTTTATTTCAATACTTTTATACGCAAGGTATTATTGTGACTTCTCTAAATTTAATATTTTCTTTTCTGAAAAATAATTGGTTCAACTTTGTACAAAACAATGTGTTTTATTCAACCTTTTTAGAGGAATAATAAAAAAAAAAGTTCATGTGTGTTCCAGGTCAGAGAGGATTGTGGGTAAGGAGTTGAGCCTCAGGAGATGGAGACAGAGGAGAGAGGAGGAAATGGATTCTGTTTACTGACCACGAGCTTCTGGTGTTGATGGGATATGTATCCCTTAATGTGGCCCTGACAGCAAACAGAGAACAGGATTAAATATAGGGATTGACACCATATTTTAGTGTGTGTGCAGGCGTGTGTGTGCACGTGTGTGTGTGTGTGTCCTGACCATGTAGATGAGGTTCGCCAGGATACACTGCACCTCATCAATGTCCACATCCTCTACATGCATCATCTTCAGTGCAACCAGGAAGGCGTCTAAAGGAAGCTGGTGAGTCCTGAGCAGCAAGTACCTAGAAAGACCATAACAAGACTTCCTAGTCACTTAGAGCACCCCCTGCTGGCACAATAAAAACACCTAACTATTCTTCAAATATTTCACTGATGGACAAACTTTTCAGGCAGGAAAAATCCATAGATAAAATCAGTGATTGTAGCCCACAGAGACACTGGTTCATTGCTGCCTCTTGTGGTAACTTCGTGTCACTAGTTATCCTGATCACAGGATCTGCGTGACTCACACTTTCTTGTAAAGGTTTCTGTAGGTGATGATTTTAAGTTTCTCCAGGATGAGGAAGATTCCACAACGGATGAAGAATGTCTCGTGTTTGGACAGGGCTTCGTTCAGCAGCAGCAGGTTTCCTTCACTGATCACACACATACACACTGTCAAATTATATAAATCTGCTTGTGCTGTGATGTCACCTCCTGCGTTGCTTACCTCACAGCTTTGGTGACGTCAGCAAACTGCATCAGGTCATACTTCCTAAGGAGCTCCTGACCCGGCATGTGACCCTGAAACGGAACAGATAATCTGGACTCAGTTCACCTGAGTTGATCACTAGTGAAAACCGTTGTGAACATGTTGTGTAAATGATGCTAAGCAGTGTGAATGGATGAGTGAAGATGTGTCACCAGCAGCATCTTGACAGGCAGCAGGTAGATGAGGATCATCCTCTTGTTCTTCTGACTGGAGCGGTGACAGTGTTGAAAGGAAAAGGACAGGAAGTCCTCAGCTAGACACACAAAGATACACAGGTGAGTGTGGGACAGAATGGAGAACTGCTGATTTACTGCTGATTTACTGCAATAGAATCGAAGTAGTGTCTGACCTGATCCTTACCTAGTTTGAAGTCACTGTCAAACATTGCCTTTCGTCCTACATAGTACTTGTACGTGACCTGTTGGGCAGAGCTGTAGTCGTTTTTCAGGTTGGAACTGTCGATGGCTCTGATCAGAGGTTTACACAGGTGCAGCTTATTGATCTACAAGACAAAACACACATCACTAATCAGGTTGAAGAGTGTTGTATCGATAATTCATATTTCGTGATGAGGTTAGTTGAAATCTGACCTTGAAATAGATCTTGAAGAGCTGGTTACTCAAGAACATCATTCCCCATTTTTTAGAATCTTCAATTCCTGCACGACTGAAACAACAGCTGTTGTTAACGCAACTTTTTCTTTTATTGAACAGATGTTTTGACAAACTTTTAGCCTTTTCTGTCTCATTTTGTCAATTTGTCTAATGTTTAACTCTTCCTGAAATAACTTTTACATTTTCTACACAAATAATTTTACAAAATATCATCTAACGTCTAGCTCTTTTTTAGCTAACTTAAAGCAATTGCTGTGTACAGAATCCAACATACTCAACTCACAATACAATATGATAAGCCAGACAAATTATCACTAAAAGAAAATGTGTGTGTGGTTGTGTGTGTTCCTCACTTGTCACTGGCACACACTCTAAAACAGCTCATCAGCTGCTCCGCTGCCTTCTCAAGCATCTCTCCAGGCTGACCTTTGCCTTTCTTCTGCAGCTGCTGCTCAGCCTGAGAAGTATATTTCAGAGATGTTTTAATGATTTTTCAAAAATTAAATGAATTACTTTAATTAATAACATGTTTTTCAAAGCTGAAGATCAGAGGACAAGGATCAGGCTACTGACATTGTTGGCAAATATTCTGAGGTCCAAAGTGACAGCAAACATCACAGGAAGAGCCCTGAAAATACACACACAATTTTAGTGTATATAAAAATAAACCAACCCTGACAAAAAACAAAAAAACAACAGTGATTTGTTTATTTCAGATTAATATTGGCGTTATATATGTAATTTGTAATGTACTGCTTAAATCTAGGCTGTCGATACAAACAGACTACACTTTTGTACAAGGATCTTCTAGCCATCTACCTAATAATAGCGGATCGATTAATAAGGTATATTGAGGTAAATAAAAAAATTAAACCCACAGTCAGAGAGAGACCTGAAAACATAACTTATGATTTAAATAATTTAATTCAATGAACAGAGAACTTTTCCATCTGATAAAAATGAAACATCTGTCTCTGATACTCACCAATTCTCTTCTTTATGGGACTGGAAGGCCCTTAGGAAAGATGTGACGGGTCAATGGTCAAGGAAAAGACAACAGAGGATTATTAGTTATTGATATAAACAAATGGTGAAGTCACTGATGCCATCTTGTATGGATGTATTTCGGGGTTTTTTGAGGATATTGAACAACAAGGGTCTGGAACTTGTATGCTTCCACAAAGTCGTGATTGGCCACAGCGTAGGTGCACCTGCAACACACACATTCAATTGGATTATGTTTCAAATGTTTAGCTACTCACTGGTAATTTTTGAATGATGTTTACTCTAAGCAACTTCTGCTGTATCTGGGGGCATTTTATTATTTTTTTATCATTGTTAGTTTTTAATTATTGCAAAAACTTTAAGTCATCTTAGCCTAATTCTTAAGACTATCAATTTCAAATTTTTATACCTATTTTCAGCTATTATTTAGCTAACTGCTACCAAACATATTTATCCACAAGGTCGTGAAAAAGAGCTTCCAGAGGTCAGAATTCAGATACTTTTGGGTTCATTTTAGGTTATTTTTGAGTTATCTTCTATATTTATTGTGTTGTTTTATGGATACCTGTAAGAACCCCCTACAATCAAATAAAGAAACCTATGTGTTTCTGCCATTGTATTGAGCTATACAACTACACCTCAGTCATTAATAAATATTTGTCACATTGATACCTGAGATGGGCTGCAACCATCTCATCGTATGGCGGTTCCAGAACCTGTTGACATTTGTCTTCTGGACTTGCCAACTGCAAAATTCATAACAAGGGTTTCAGACTGTATATTAGTTTCTGTTTGTGTGTGTGTTTGTGCTAAGAGTGTTGGGCCTAACCTGGAGCCGTGGGTTTGCCACATGTGGATGTTTGAAGGACAAAAGTTCAGCACAAAACAGACCTTCGTGGTTGTCAATTGCCTCATAAACCTGAAGGAAACAAAGAGCAAAAAAAAAAAAATAGAATCGATTGAACATGAGCACAAATTCTTAGGACATTTCAGCTGAGGAGGAGTGGAGGTCAAAGTTTACCTGCTGTAGGTACTGATTTATGGTGATGTGAGCCATGATTTTGGCCTGAGATCAGACACAAGCAGGTCAACGCTTGTTCCAAGTCGGTAGAGATTATTATGATATTTTCTTCCTTAAAAGTCAATATGCTTCTGAAAAAAAAAATGAAAAAAATAGCGTTGTTAATTTATGTATAGTACATATAATATTAAACAATAATTCCGAAAGTGTATTTTCTATATTAAACTTCATGTTTTTAAAAATCGCTGCAACGTGCTCAAAAAGCGATAGTGCGATAGTCAAAGTCGGACTAAAACATAATCTAATTATAAACTTACTGAAAGAATCAGTTCTCAAACTACCGATAACAGCCTCCGCTCTTGAAGCTGCACTTTCTGAAAAACGCTTGCAAAAAATAGTCTAGCTAGTGAACTTTAGGTATGTATATTTACGTTTTTCATTCAAACTGTATTCATTTCATAAGCGTCTACATTAGCAAGGCTATTCTTACTGTGCACCGTGGCGTACTTGTTTACGCTGTTTTTATTGTATTTAACAAAATGTATTAGGTGCAACATGAAATAATGTAAAGCAATTAAAGAATATTTAACTTATATTAAGTGAAACGAGCGACGTTCAGCTTAAGGCTAGCTAGCCCATAGTTAGCCTTTATTTCGTTTATTATTTCAAACGGCTTTTATTCCGGCGTTAAAAGAGTAATTAAAGTCGCGGTAATTTAAAATCAAATGTTTAAAATGCTTCTACCTGTGAGAGAAAACTGCCTGGATATGTTTAATGTCCACTTTCTCCATACATAATTACAGAATGTTTTTAACGCCGTTACACTTAAATCTTCCGGGTCACTAAAGCCGATTTCCGGTGTTCCAGTTTAAAAGTTCCACTTCTGCAATCTTCTTCCCTTTTTAACTAAATTGTGATTGTTTTAACCAAACCTCTTGTTGTTTTGTTCATTATAATTGTTTGTCTGAAGAAAAATTATACTGTATGCATAAAATATTACACATGCAAATGTTTGTTCTTCTACATTTATTGACAAAAAAGTAATTTTCTCTCTTACTGGTGCATATCATTAATACTTATAATACAATGACTAAACAGAAGTCACTTATAATACAATGACTAAACAGAAGTCACTTAATCGTAGCATATATGTATCGTCCCCAGAATTAAACTGAACAAATAAAATTAATTTGCCTTTTAGGTAGCACAGAATCTAAACAGCCTTATTGATCATAAACAGAATGTCCATTAGCATGTTTTTTTAAAGAATTAAACATGTAAACGTAAAATGTAAATCATATTAAAAAACAAAGGAAATAAACAACTGGTACACCTAAACATCTTTGTTTATTTTACAATGAAACTCAGTAAATATTAGAATCTGCTTGTAGTCAAACAATGGTAAATATAATGTACAACTGTGTAACTGTATTAGCAACTTGTGTTAGTAACGGTAAGCAGTTCTTAAAATAACCAATAGGATGCTGCGATGAGTTACAAGTATATGGAATTACTGGCAATATTTAGGGTATTATAACCCTTGGTGTTGCCAGGGTGTTGAAGTGACAAGCAACAGTATGTAGCAGTCAGTGGTTACCACTAATTGTGATTATCCATTAACACAAAATGCAAAACATGGCAGAACCAGCAGCACTTTACCAAACCATTACCACATTATTCATATTAGGTTTTAGTCAAGGTTTTAGTCAATGCAATTAACACTTGATTAGTCCTCAGAAAGAGTGGGTGGAGTCAGGTGGGCTACACCATACAGCCCTGCTCCCTCGGCCATGGCTGGAATGCTGCATAAGATTCTCATTGTTGATTGGTCCATGCAGAGAGTTGCATGGTGAGTGTACAGGGCTCAGCTCAGAACATCCAACCGTCCAAAGACAAGGGAACTGACTGCAAGCAAAGAGTGAATGTTTTAAGATGAGTTTTTATATAGTGACCATATAAGGTAAGGGGCGGGACCTACCTGGAGTAATGAGGAGGAGCAGTAGCAGTCAGAGAAGAGTTAGAAGTGAAGGAGGAGGGGCAGGAAGTGGTCATGCAAGGTGAGGTGCTACGTCCATCAAAGACCTGAATGTCTTCAGACACAGAGTGTGAATATTTGTTCACAAGATGTTTTCAAAATGATACAAGATAGGAATTGCATACAAATAAGAACAGAAAAGTAAAATAACCTGATGAATGCATGCAGGGCTTTGGATAGGGGGCAGAGTAAGGAGCATGGCGTCCTGGGTAAACATGGTGTTTGTAACCATGGTGAGGACGGGATGTCAAAGACGGACTTCCGTGGTAAGAATAGGAACCGTCCCCTGCAGCTGAGCACATAGACCAACCTGGGACACAGATTTTATACATTCATTAGCCAATAGCAGCAGTCTTTGGGAGAGGGCAGGGTAGTTCATTCCAGGACCACATATACAGATAAAAAACATTCACACTTTCATACTACTTTTTCAACAAAGGACAGTTTAAAGTGTCCACTAACACAGTTCTGCATGTTGTGGACTGAGGGATGAAACCAGAGGAAATCTAACACAGAGAGGGAGAACATGCAAACTCCACGCAAAAAGGGATTAAACCAGGGCAGCAGTGATGCTGCTGCTGCTGTAGGCGAAATTAGTATTAGTATAGTATTAGTATTACTAATTAGTATTAGTATTAGTATTAGTAGGCGAGTATAAAGCACTCTTCATCTTTGTGGCATAAATGTATCTTGTGGTAATAAGATTCTGGTTAACTTTTAGCCCAAGGTAAAACGAACCAATCATGAGAACAACAGTGACTTACAGGGTTGAATTCCAGACACAAGATTGTCAGATGAATCTGTTAAGCTCCGCCCTCCTCTGTTCCTGAGGACAATAAATCAAACGTAACCTGCCAACCTCCTTTACTATGCTGTTGTGGTAACAAATACATGACCATGAGAAGAAATAGTATATTTGGTAATACTGGACACAATTTATAAAATCTGGAGAAGTTAAGGAGAGGACCAGGATTTACCTCTTAGATTTAAATGACAGTAGTGGCCTGATCATACCTGTCTTTAGTGTCCAAGAACGCTTTAGCAAATGGGTTGTATTTAATCTTCAGTGCTGTTATCTTAAAAAAAGAAAAGACAAAATGTTAGGACATACAACAAACACACACAATTTATTACTTCCCACCCCTTTCAGGACAAACCAAGCAGCAAACCCATTAAATGTGTTTTGCTTTTTATCTATTAGTATTAGATTTTTTAAAAATCATTTTGGCCTGACGTTTTATCAGATTAGGTAGTGTTCGCTGGTAAAAAAATGGAATAAGTTACTTAATCTTCTTTATTACTTACAGACCAGATTTTATTAAGGACTGAAAGTGACAACATTAAATAGATAATTATATATACAAACATTTATAATAATAACAAATAATTACTTAAATGTGTCATTACTTAATTAAAAAATATATGCAGTTATTTCACCATTTATGTAATTATTTCATGGTCCTGTGTTGCAGTGCATCATGAATTGATTTTAACTATCAAAGTCTGTAAAAAATAAGCTATTTTAGTTAATGACACATTTAAATAATTAATGATGTGTTTCTTTATTTAATGTGGGCACTCTCACTCCTCCATAGTCTTTAAAGAGTACTTCGATAGGACCAACTGAATATTTCTTCTGTTTGCACTGAACTGTGTGTGTGTGTGTGTGTGTACCTCTTCATTCTGGTACGCAGTAACAGCAATGAACTGAGTTTCTCTGAAGGAGATGTTGGAGACCAGACGATGGCGAGAGCCGACACACACGATGTTTAGCTGAGGCTCGTATTTGTGGAGAGAGTTCAACATAATCTGAAACATCCCATAAAACTCCGTATAACTCATCATGTAAAACCGACCACAGTTCATGTCTTCATAGAGAGTTTCATATCTCATGTTAAAAAAACTCAAACCAGAGTGTTTGTCCGAAAGAGTCAGATGTTCAGCTGAGCCCTGACCTGACCTGACCTGACCTGGCCTGACCTGACCTGGCCTGACCTGACCTGGGCCCTTCTGGGTTGCTGGGTACACGCGTTTAAGTTTGGACTCTGATTTAGAGGTCAGGTTGATGTGTTGTGTAAAAAGTCACAACACTTCTATAGTGATGCGTCCCCTGTTGTCGTCCCTCTGTGTCAATGGTTTCAGTTTCAACGTAGGAGACTTTCATTTCCAGTTCATATAGAAGCCTCCGCAGCAGATAGATATTTCCACAGGAAACTTAATTCTGTAAACTCCCTTTACTCCCACAAAAAATTCCACTCAGAACATTTATAGATATGACAGACACCGCACAAATGTGTATTCACTGATTCTTCACTGAAAAATTCACTGAAAATCAGTCTTTTTGTGACTTCACAGTTTGACAATCTTTGTTCAGATTTATCACACGTGTCTTATCTGGAACTCTAACTTTTTCTTTGTACACAGTTTGTTTTTGCGTGTGTAGGTGTGTAGGTGTGTTCGTGGCGTGGAGCCATCTTTGTCCTTCTGTCCAAACACTCTTTTCATCCATCAGTCCCAATTAACCAATCAGAGCGAAGCAGGCAGTGGCAGCAAAAACAAACAGTTTTTCTATTCAGATGGAGAGGCTGGCTTCACAACATCTGACCCCAGTGTGTGTGTGTGTGTGTGTGTGTGTGTGTGTGTGCTCGGGTATACTTCACCTCCCTGTCTCTCTCATCCACCTGGAGCATGATGGGTAAATTAATTTCCCAGTAAAAAACATAATTACCATAATGTACAAATAAGCAGAGCAATTATTTCATTATAGTCCACATCAGTGTGTGTGTGTGTGTGTGTGTGTGTGCAATGGATAATGGAGGTAAATATAAACAGAATTATTATTGCCAGTTTTCTAGTGCTTCTGTGAGAGTGCACGTTAGAGTGCACATGTGGTGGTCTCTCATCAAGAAGAACATTAAAAAAATTGAGAAAATGTTTATCCTGGTTTCCATGGTTACCGGGGACCAGCAGGTGAAGTGAGTTGTCAAGGAGAAGGAAATGAAGAGGTTAACGAGACGTAGGGGTCTCTCGCCCACTCCGGAGAAGGAACAGAGAGAGAGAGAGACGCTCATTATGGAGAAAGAGGAAAGTCATGGCAGGAGAAAGAGAAATTAAAAAAACAAACCGAAGTGAAATATATAACCTGCACGGAGAGGTAACTAAAGGGAAAGCAAACCCTCTCAAAAGGTCGACAAAAGCAGCGAGAAGTTACAGAAATGTTTGGCCCAAGAGTAGCTTAGAGCTGGACAAAACAAGCCGAAAGGAACGGGGGGGGGGGGAAAGATGATGGCTTCAGCAAACGAAGGCTAAGACCTAAGAAAATATAATTCAAGAGTTAATCAAGAATAGCTTCAAGGTTTTCTAAAATAGCCAAAGGTTTATCAGACTGTTAGGAATTTGCCAGATATGGAAAAAACTTCCAGATATAGATAAAACAATAGATGAAAAGGCTAGAAGAAAAGTTCCCTAAATATGGCCTTCAAGACTTGATGGGTACAATCCTGGAGAGAAGGCTAGGCATTACATGACTCAAAAGAATTGCCTTTTAGCCAAAAGTGAACAAAAAAAGAAAAGAAAATTAAAACAAAATGTAAAAATAACCACAAAGAGCCGTCTCAGTCCACATTTACGTCTCACGTTTGATTCATTTGCAAAATGTGTTTGAGGTTCATTTTTGAATTCAGATCCAGGACCAGATTCTAGTTTATGTTTATGTTTATGTTTATGTTCATGTCCGTTACCTGGCCTCCACCAGCGATCTTGTTAGTGAGCTTGACCTTGTTGAAGGTCACAGCGGCCTTCATCCAGTGAGCTCCAAAGTTTGGTGAATCAGGGTGGATGTAGATGCCCCTGTCACCACACCCCTCAGTGTGGCTCTGCCCCTCACTCTGCCCCTCACTGTGACACTCTTCCCGTCCAATCGCGGAGAATGGGTC